CTTGTATTATACGCATAATCATACTGCACCAATTGTTTCTTGAGCCAATAAAATCTTAATATAATATGAATCAAAAATGACACTTATTGAATGGCCGGTATTTACTATGTGTCGTTTTAGCCCTGATTTGTACAGTATTTACACTTCTGCTAGATGTTTGATCAACATATTTTGATTATATTGCATAAATAACGAAGTTATTCTAAATTTGTAGATTCAACTTAAATATAGTGTGTAAAATAATTACTGTACTCCATATAGCCAATGCGCTTCAACAAGTTATTAACAATGTAATCCAAATATAGAAAATGCGCGATTGTTTGATTTGTCGTGTTCTATAATTGTGGTGCCGGATTTAGTAAACAATTTAATTATTTGTTTACATGACACCAAATAGCAATTAGACTGTAGTTGACTCGTGTCAAATTATCGCAATGCCGAGTCATTCATATTACATACTGCCTTGTGTCAATGCAAATGCAAGAAAATAAATTGCAATCTCTAATGAATAAAACCAATAAATAGAGCCACCTTTAATATGAAGTTCCGTTCCAATTTTGCTTTTTTTCTTAAAAACATTTAAAAAAATTTTCTTTATAAAAATTACTTACCTGCCGTATAAGCATTCATAGACAGAAATTCGTCTGATTGGTTAGTTTTTAAAGTCGATTTGTAGATCACACGTGAATATTAACCAAACAAATCGCATAATTTTATTGTTAGAAAAAATGAAACTTTCGTTATCGTTATAGAAAAAGACAAAAAAAAAAGCATTTAAAACACGATATAACCACATACACACACAAAAAAAAAAACTTAATATGCACATAGAAAATAGATAGATAATATATATAGAGCAAATAAGACAAAGTAGTATTTATTATTGACAAACCCAACCTACTCTACATTCTATTCCAAACCCCGATATATATTAAGAACTAAACAATTTCAAGCCCGTCTTAAGCACTAGGTCCAGATCTCTTACTACCAATAAGTATATATACGTCTCAGGTCTAAGTACCTAACTATGTTCTTAATAATAAAAAATAGTTATTTTTTAGAAACTGTTTGTTTTAATACACGTTAAAATTCAAAAAAGCCTTTTTTTTTGACTTACATATTTCAAAAGTCGTTACTAAGCTAACCTTCCTTAAATATAAGATTATAAAAGATTATTTTTGAAGTTAGTTTTCTTGCACTCTTTGAAAGCTAGAACTAACGTTTGACGCAATTTTTTATTTGTGCAATGTTGAGTTCTTAAAAAGTACTTTAAACTATATAAATTAGTTACCTGGGTAATTGATTTACGCCAGCCAATCAGACGAATTTCTGTCTATGATATAAGCACTATGTCGTCCCAAAATAAATCTGTTGTATTATTATTGAAGGCCTCTAAAAGAAATCTACGTAAAAAAGGCCTTCGTGCGATAAAAAAAGCCAAATTTAAAAACCTTGATATTTCTGTCGTTGAAGATAATACTAATTCCACATCCAATATTAACCTGGCCGATGTAAGAGAAGATATTTTCTACGATCCTCTAAAAGTAAGTTACTGTAGTGCACTGACTAAAGTACCCGGTGTGACATGATTTTTTATATAGTGAAAAATTAAAAATCACATGAATTACACAATTGTTTACATCACATATCACATATAAATAATATTGTAAAAAATTGATC